TTGAGAATTTAAGAAGATTTACATTTTTTTTGTTTGTTTGTTTTGTTTTATTTGTTGTATCATTTGCTAAGACACAAATCATTTTACAAATTTTGGTTTTACAATGTTGCCTTTTRAGACAACATTGTAAAACCAAAAAGACCAAGGAAGAAAAAAAACACCTGATAACAATACTGTATTTGTTGCTCCAAGTTAAAACCTACTGTATTTTTACTCTTCTGTTTTGCTGGTGTTAAGTCCTCTGTGCCGTCTAGAAACTCATGGATGCTGTTTGTGAACTGTGGCTCTGAGGTTTAGACTTGTCAGTACACCTCAGAAAAGTTTCTCCCTTGAGTATAAAGAAAATAAGCTAACTGTGCYTCTAAAAACATGTTGATGTTTGAATTGCGAATGCATCATCAAACCGTGCTTACTGAGGATTTGTGATTGCTTCATGGTAGCAATGCTTGAAAGACCACCAATCAATCAGCAAASGTTGACTACTCCATGTCCACAGAGATTTCATATTATCAGACTCTAAATGAGATCCCWCTGGTTCTCGAAGGAATACTCTAAATGAGCGCAGTGTTTTCTGCCACATTAGTAGTGAGACGTGTAACATGATAAAATTACTCCCAAAATTAAATGCAAGTGTCAAGCTTGTTCTCCATTTTTCATTTAAAAATGCTCCTTCATGTATGTCAGACTGGCTTTGACAATTACAACGGTGACTCACCCTGCCCCAGGCTGTGGACAGAAACTTTTTTTTGCTCAAATAGACATCATGTTTTTCTAAGCTAAGGTATATAATAAAATATAGTCAGTTATTTATGATTGCAAAAGAGAGAAAATAATTATGACCATGTCTGTGAGTGTTTATTTGTCTGTAGTGTAAACAAAATACCCCACCTAAAAAAAAAATCAAAAAACATTGGACGTATTTCAGTAAATGTGTTATCAAGTAATCATTGGATGTACATATACAAATCTGTCAATCCCATTTAAAACAATTAAAGGATTTTAGCTAATTTTAGCTTTGATCCAGGGTTCAGCAGCTGCACCTGATTATCCAAATGCAGTTTTTCTACCCTGCAGTAGAAATCGCTCAGGTCAAAGCCTGAACCTTATTAATTTGGAAAAGGAAGAAATTATTTCTAGAAACAAGCTAAAAAATGGGCCAACACCAAAGCATGTTTCTGTTCAATCATTTATGCAAATCCAATTTTTTAAAAAAAAACTTTTAAACTACTGTCTTTTTACTCTATTTTCACAACAACAATGAAAKAGTTGTTATAGCTCTATATTTAATTGATGCAGTTTTACTTTTACATCAAATAGGTGTTTCCATCAGGCTTTGGTTGTTCTCAGACRGCAGAAATCTGCTTCTGAACTTGTTTGCTCTGAATGTCATTAAAAAAGTCTGAATTATTATTTTAGGAATTTAGTTTTATAACTAGGTTTGTGCGTGGAATTGATCAGTGGCGGGGGGCTGGTCAATAGGGGG